AAATGCTTTTTTTTTTTTCCCCACCTTACGGTAACTGTAATACAGCAGCATCCAGTTCATCAAAGCACAAGGAAATACTGCAAGTAGCTGTGCAATAAATGACCTGGCAGATCATCTCCCATATTCAAAGCACCACAGATACCAGCTCTTTCAATAGTACCACAAAATTCAAAGTATTCATTTATAAACATCCTTGTGTAAATATTATATATATATCTGTGGAAAAGTGAGAATTCATGAGACCTTGTCCAGAGTTGCTCAGGAAAGAATTGTAGATCTAAGGATAGATTTCACAAATGAAAATCCTCAGCTTTGTGTTTTTATCTCCAGAGAGGATTCCTTCCCTTCATATCAAGTGGAAAATATCACTGTAGTCCAACCTCCCCCCCCACGAATCCCAAATTGTCCCTGAAACCTGTTTTCCTGTACACTCTCAGTCACAATCTTGTGCCAGTCCAATTTTCACATCATGAAAATTGTTACTGCACTTTAACCATATAAATTCTATTTCTATCGCTTACAGCAATTCCCATCGCCACTTTCACATTCTACAACTGTAGGTGCTGAATATGGGCAAGAATTTGTCTGAGACAGAATTCCAGCAATTTGTAACAGTGTCCTGCTAAGTCAAGAAGTCTTGGTTTATGCCAAGCATATTTGTGCTTAAGAGAGCGAAACTACCTTTAGCAGACAGCTCAGGTCAGCACCAGAAAGTGTCAGCTGTGATTCAAACCATAGATTTTTCCCGGGTAGTGATACTGCTTTCATCAATGATTTCATGGAACCTAGCAGATAATTTTAACCCATTATTTATTCAGCAGTTTCCCTCTACCTTGACTTTTTCAAATATTATTAGTTATCAAAAATGATGCAGTCTGTATTTTGAGCCCACTTTTAGCTGAGGAGTGATTCTGAATAAACACTGCAAATGGTACATACACATGTTAATATTTAATGTGGCTTTGATCATGTGAGTTTCTGATGAGCCATTTTGATATATAGTTATTGTACCGTGTATTTTAAAATGGATCTTCTTCAAAGAATCATTCACAAAAGCCTTTGTATCATGTTTTCATAATGCGACTACCAAACCAGGCCTGGCGGAAGGTTCACAGAGGGTTGACAGAGCTTTTTCAGCTCAGCTTGATTAGGACTTTTCCATGCTGGAGAGCATTCCTGGGTGTGGCTGATGGGATTTCCTGCCTTTTTGTCCCATGAAGGGAGCATGGAGTGTACATGTGCAAGGAAATGGTTCCCGCTTTGCTCCCACATAAGATTTTTCAGTAGGGTAAGAGCTCTGGCTGTGCAGAGCATTGCTTGGGGGGTTTGGTTTGGAAACTGCTGCTTTCCTGCAACATCTCTCAGAATTTGAGAGCAGGGGGGACATGAGGAATGTGTCACCCTATTCCTGTAGGGGAGAGGGTCCTTCACATTGTAATTCTCTTCAGTGGATCACATAAGTCTACACTAATTATGTTCCCAACTTAAAAAAAAAAATCACAACTTTTTTGTTAATACCTTCATTTGTATTAGATACTTGAGTTTCAGATCTCTCCAGGCACTTCTTATTTCAGCAGAAAACTTGTACTGGAACAGGTTACCTGTACCACATGTATCTAGCTCCTGCGTGCAGAGTGAGTTTGATTACTGTTAATTGTCATAAAAAATCCTGTGCATAGAGCAATAATTGAAGGGAGATTTCTTCACCCAATGCAGTTCTTGCAGGCTGTAAAAATAAATAAGGTTCTATCAGAATAAATAATACAGTAGTGAATGAGCAAACTTTTTCTATCAGTAAATGCAAAGATGGGAAAATGCAAAGATTAGAAAAATTTGTGAAAGCAGATTATAGGAACTGAATTTAGATGGATTTTGATTATTTGTTTCTTATATCCTTGAAGTTGCAGTTGGATTAGTTTTGTTTTCCAAGAAACATATTATGGGGAATTACTGAAATACAGTAGATGTTTTCCTGGGGAATTTTGGAACTCTGTAACTGACAAAGCCTGTCCTTAGGGAGTTTCCAGCATTTCAGTGCTGAGTAACTTACGTAGCTCTGTTCTACATATTCCACATTTTTGGATGCTTTGTCAATCTGACCCTTTTTACAACATCTGATAATGCCTCAGCCCATACAAAATGCAATCAGTATTGAGATCTTCCAGGCCAAATTAGGAATTAGGAAATGTTACAGTTGCGCACTCCCTATATTTCTTAGTTGACAGAAGGAAAAGGATGAATAACAGTATTTTTAGGTTTCCATGTCCCCTAGTTTTGTTCCCAAGGTTTGTTCCTCCTGAGCTGTCTGTAGGGCTGTAGCCCTTCTGTTGCCCAATTTGTACCCTGCTATACCTGGGTCTGACACAGGCATACCTAGTCAGGGAGTTGCTGGGGAGCAACAGACAGATTTTATGATCATTTTCTATCCCTGTTCTATTCGTTACACTGGAAGAACTAGGAAAAAAAAAATACAAATCAAAGGGCCAGGTTACTCCAGGTAACAGGCTATTTTATTTCACGTAGACATTGGGTATAATGCACCTTTTCAGTTCTCAGTTCATTTTCTCTGCCCGTTTGTCACACAGCCAACAATGAGACAAAGCCACACGCCCTCTCGGTGCATACAGAAGGCACTCTGGGGCCTGGGAAGGGTGCTTTCTGCATTGCATACTTCAAAACTGTGCACTACACATCTGGCCTATCCTGCCAGTGTATGGTAATGCGTGTCCGTGGCCAAGGAGCTGCAGAGTTCCCCCGTAGGAAGCGACGAGCGGTGCAAATGGCCTGTCTTACTTTTTTTCCCAGCAGGAACCCTTACTTTTATTATTGCTATTATTTTATTTACAGTTATTGTTCCCTGTCTGAATCTTGTCTGCATGCACAGATGTGGCCTGTCTATGGAGGAAACAGATTTCAGTCATCATGATCAAGAGCATAGGAAATGCTTCCCATGGCCCAGTGCCACACTTGTGTTTGCATTTCTTTTATTGCGTGAATTACGTAGGGCTTTGAGTTCCCTACCAAAACTGGGCTCCCATCACACAGTCACCTCCAAAGGGGAACAGTCATTTTCCTCAAAGGCCCGCAACACAACTCAAGTAGATGAGCTAGATAAGTGAGGGATCCAGAAACAAAGGCAAAGTGAAGGGAAGTGACTCACCTGTGGACTATCAGCTGTGAATACAGAAAGGCGGATGGTAGTCATGAGGGGCCAGTGACACAGCCATGCTGTGACGTAGCTCACCCCTGGTCACAGAATCTCAGACCCATGTGGGACAAACAACCTCACTGCCTGTAAGGCTTCAAGAGCAGAAGCGCCCTTGTCCTTTGGATAAAAACATCCATACAAATTCAGACTTCCCTCTACGTTGCCGCCTCCTCATACGTTGCATTTATTTACTCACTGGTAGTATGTCAAGGGCTTAACTTGGACTTTCATGGTTTATATCCTTTTGGTGCTCTGCACAGAAGTGACTTTATCCCTGGGACAAAGCAGCGCTTTCCCTCATGACTGTCATCACCCGGCCTAAACCATCCCTGCCCAAATGAAGGCCTGAGCCAAGAGAGACTTTATCTTGTGCGCAAATACAGATTTGACATTTTTTCCAGCCCTGCTCAGGTCACTAATTAAAAGCCTAGGAAGTGAGCACACATGAAATCATTCCTTCCGTACAGGCAGACAGATGGAGAGAAATTCCAGCCTGTTTCCACTCTTTTGTCTTCAGGGCATTTTTGGAATTTCCTTCAGGAAGTGAGGTTATGACCCAGAGCCTTCCTCAGTGAGTAGGCTCTCGTTTCCCACAGTAAACCTTGCACGGCGATGACATACAGTATGAGAAGGTGAGGTTTATCTTCACACTCCAACTGCATCCTGTACAAGTGACATGGAACTTAAAAGTAATACTGAGAGGGAATGGCCGCAAGAGAGGAAATGGAAGTCAAGCCTCTGGAAGAAGTAACGCAGTACCTATTCAACTACCCTGCTACAGTCTTCGCTGGTGGGCCCAGCAGAGCTGCGGGATTCACATAGCTGAGGTCACCATTCTGTGTTGCATAAATCTCCTTGATGTTTGCAGTAAGCTAAGAATTAAACTTATGAATTATATTAGTGATATAAATGAATTATTTCTCTTACACTGCTCTAGGCAATCACGGTAGAACTGTCAAGCATCTTTTTTCTTCAGTTTGTACTTCATTAGCTGTTGGAGAATTGCTACTGCAGAGATCCTTCTAACAGTGTTTCACTGATACAGCATGTGCTGATGACAAATCATATTCTAGTGTTCATTTTATATTTTACATGATCCTGTAAGTGGCATTATGCATTTTATGTCCCCACAGAATTGCCTTAATCCCGGCATGTACTGAAATCAAGGAATTCTTTCACTAACTTCTGTCAGCCAGAAGCCGCACTTGGCATGAAACCCCCACAGCAGTACAAAACTACTAGCAATCTGATAACGGATTCTTTAAAAAAATCAGTTTATTAATGTTTAGAAGTCAATAAAGCTATGTGCAAATTGAACATAAGAAGTCAGAAACATTTTAAATACTATTTTTTAAACCAGAAAAAAACAAACAAAAAACCCCCCAAAACAGTTTAATTGCACTGGAAATTTTACTACAAAGGCAATAATTTTTTTTTTACAAAATACCACTTCTAGGAATTGCCAATAACTGTAAATCAGTCAGTTGCTCTCAGCTATCCCAGATATACCACTTTTGTTATAGCAATACTCTAGGTGCGTGAAGACTCCTGCATCTTATTATTTACATTGTACACATTCAACCCCATTAGCACAGGTTAGAAAAACAGAGGAGTAAAAATGATACTGTAAAACAAATACATTCAATTTAATTACAGGTACTTCTTCCATGAACTAATAAAATACAGACATCTTTGCTGAAATGATGAACATTAATAAAATGTGCCAAAATGTATTGCATTTTGTTATGGAAGTGCATTTACCTATAGTCATTTCACTTCAACTTTCCTTTTATTTTTCTGAAACTCAAGGTACTCTTTTCAGATCTTCCAACTGATCTTTACCTGTGGAAAGACTATGAACTTGACACTGAAATGCCCTGTCAGTTTTTACAATAGCATCTTATACTGTTAGGTTTACTTTCAGTCATCTTAAAGAGAAATGACCTTTAGTTCTACCTTGCATTTGTCATGATACTGCAGTTTATTTAATGCTACAGAATAACAAGGCAATCAACATACGGGGCCAAATGCTAGTGCTCTGAGCTACTCCATAAAATCTGACGTAGTCAATGGAATTGTATAGGTGAAAGTAACTGCAGAGTCTGGCTCATGGTCTTCAAATGTAATATGGACCAACAGCAAAAATTCACAGCTATGATCTCACTAAATAAAACCCCAACAGCTTTGGACTCTGCAAATTAAACCTTATGACTTAACTAAAAACTCTGGAAAGTGATGCCAAATTATGGTTGTATGTGGTCTAATTTGTATTTGTGTGACCTCTTTCTTCATTATATGCTAAACAAACACTTCTGACCAACTACACCAGAGCCACCACTAAATTCAGTACAGAAAGATCTTTGTGTCAGTGGTTTGCTGCAAGTAAAGGAGAAATAACTTCACATTCTTCTCACATGGAAAAAAAAAAAAAAAGGTTAATTCTCCCTCTCCCTCCTCCCCCTCTCTCTTTCTCTCACACACACCAGGCATCATTTCACCAAGGCATCAGTCTTTCAGAGTTACTAAGGAGATTTCAGGATATGAATGCGCCTGACAATCCTGAGCTGCCTCAGTGCAAAGACAAAACATGCTCCAGGGAAAAAGATTTTCAAGCCAGAACAGTCTGTCCCGTTTCTTGAACTCCAGCCTCACAAGTGCACCATTTGCCTCATTAGAACTAATGCTACTTGCTCACTTAGCCCAACGCTGCTGCCGTGAGCAGGAGGCATCTCAGCTCCCCCATTTCAGAGGAAAGGCTCTGAAATACAACCCCATGGTTACTCCTAAGAAGATGAGGTCATGTTTCCTGAAGACATGATGGTTTCAGGACGGTCACCTTCCTCCTTCTGTGGGTGGGAGGAGTTGTCAGACTTACTCCGGCTGAACTCCATCCCTCCGATGATCGGCCTCTTGAACTTGGTCCCTGAATCTGCTGGGGGACATTTGCAGCAGCACAGAATCTTGATGAAAGCCCTCCGCATCTCTTTATTTGTCAAGGTGTAGATGATAGGGTTCGTGGCTGAATTGAGCACGGCCAGTACTAAGAAATACTCTGCTTTGTAGAGGATTGGGCAGGTCTTCACTTTACACCCCACATCCAGTAAAAGCAGGATGAACAAGGGAGCCCAGCAGGCGATGAAGGCACTCAGGACTATGATCACTGTCTTGAGCAAGGCTAGTGACTTTTCTGAGCTCCTAGTAGCTTTGGTAACATTTTTCCGAAATGTCAGCCTGCGGCTCCTAGTCCTCACCATGGAGTAGATCCTGCAATAGAGCACGACAATAGATAGCAAAAGGCCAGTAAAAACAGTGGTGCAAAAGAGAATATAGTGCTTGTGGTAGAGAGGCAGCACGGTGGAGCAGTTGTACAAGAGGCTGATGCAGTTCCAGCCCATGATGGGGAGTCCCCCGAGTATCACGGAGATAACCCAGCAAGCACTGATCAGCAAGAAGGAGCGGAAGCTGTTGCTGCCATTGTGGAGTTTCATCTTCAGCATGGTGATGTATCTCTCAATGGCAATGGCCAACAAGCTGAACACAGAAGCTGACAGGGCAACAAACATGCTGCCTTCTCTTACAAACCACTGGGAGGGGGTGAGGCTGTAGGTTTTGTGTCCGGATAGCAGGAGGTTGGCAGTGTAAGCCACACCAGCCAGCAAGTCTGAAAGAGCCAAGTTCCCAATGAAATAGTACATGGGTCTGTGAAACTTCTTGGTTTTCCAGATGGTGAGCAAGACAAAAATGTTCTCTAAGATTATAAAGCAGCAAATGATGATAAAAACCACCGACGTCACTTTTATTCCACTGTCCGCATTCTCATTTAGCTTTCCCGTGTAATTATAATGCTCTTTGATGACATAGTTGACATCGGTGTTGGCAAGGCTGCTGACGACCTTCAGCGGGGCGGTGGTGCCGGAGCTCATGGTGCCCGGCTGGGCGCCGCTTCCCCAGCGGCCACCGGACGGTGACGCCGAGCGCAAAGCCGGTGGCTGCCCCGCAGCACCTCGGCCCCGCAGCCTGCCCGGCGCGGCCTCAGAAACCGCAGCCCTGAGAACAAGAGGCACAAAGCCCAGAGTTAAAAGAAGGAAGGCAAACAGCGTAACAAATGATAAACGGTTTCAGACCGTCTGCGACTTTATGTCGGAGTCGCAAATGCATTCACGTAAGTTTCAGCTTCATGCAGCTGCTAAAATACATTTAAAAGATGTTAGGCGCATTCAATAGGTAAAGCTAATAAGACAAAAGAAGGTCTGTCATGCAGAGCTGAATAGGTAAATTGGAGTTGGCAAGGACTGCGTTACTGGACTTCTTTCAGTGCAAAAGATCACAAAGCTCCCCAGCAATAAGTTCTGATATATCTTCTTCTTCAGTAGGAAACACAGCTTGTAATACAACAGCAGAGATTTAGAAAGGGAAAGGACTTGATTCGGTTTAACTGCAAATGCATGAAAGCCTTCACAGAAATTACTCGAGAGGAGACCTGTACTCTCCTCCATTAATAAAGTCTGAATGTGCAGTGGAAGGGGCAGTTATGCAATTTACTGATGCTATCTCGAACAGTGGTGAATTCACTGATGTATATATAAGCAAGAGATCACCTCAAAGCTGTAAACAGGAAAGGGGTGCCCTTGCTAAATAAAGGTAAGAATATGCTTTACAAAACCCGGAGCAGTGAAAAGTTTAGAAAATCCAGAAAAATATATAAATAAGCTAGATAGCAAGCCCGTTCACAGAATGAAATGAAGAATGGCAAAAAAATACTTTGTATTCGAAAAATTAGCGTTGAAAGCTTCTGAAGTGGGCATGATTAAGGAATACAGATATAGAGGAAACTCCTCTTACATAGAAACATTTTCCAGTGGACAGTCATAGAGAATTAGACGTGAAATCACTCATGCGAGGAAAAAAGAACAGAGAGAGTTGTTAAATTACAGCCCAAGCAGGGCAAAGCAGGAGGTGCGAGGGCAATGGGCACGGCTCCCCGCTCTCCCTCCCGGGTTCCAACCCACCCCGCCCCGCTCCCGGCCCGGCCCGCTCCGCTCCGGTCCCCGGCCCGCCCCGCCCCGCCGGAGCGGCCCCCGGCCGGGCCCGCACAAGCCCCTTCGCCTCTTTTTGTTTGGGGCCCGGGGGGACGCGCCGGGCGGCCCCAGGCTCCGCAGGGGCGGCCCCGCGGTGCGGTGCGGTGCGCGGGGTGCGGTGCGCGGGCGCGGCTTCCCGAGCCTTACCTGGCTCAAACGCGGCGCGGAGCCCACCTCGGTCCCGCGCATCTTGCGTGTCCGCAGAGCGACTCCAGCGGCCGGGCCGGGGGCTGGGTGGTTTTAATGTTTCTGCAGCTGCTGCTCTCCACCCCGCTTACGATTATTCCCTTCTAACTCCTCCCTGCTGGTGGCCACGGGGCGGCTCGTGTGAGGGACCTGAGCGCCCGGCCCGGCCCGGCAGCTCGCAGCGCCCCGCCGGCGGCGGCCGGGGCAGCCCCGCCCCGCCCCGCCCCGGCCCGCCCCGGCCCGCCGCCCCCGGGGAGGGAGCCGCCGCGGGCGCTGCCGTGCCGGGGCTTTTACAGACCCTGGGAGACCCGGGGGAGAAAGCCCGGGAAGGCGTGAGGCGGGGAGCTCCCCCGCGGGACCCACCTCGCCCTGCCCGGCCCCGGCCCCGGCCCCTCTCCCTGCCCCCGGGAGCAGGCACAGCGGTGCCGCCTCCCTCCTCGGGCACATTCTAAGTAATGTTTAAGGAAATACCTGGAAGAGGCTCTTCCCTTCTCCCCCTTTGGGAGAGAAACACTCAGCTGTGGTGTCCCTCCTCACCCCCACTCGTGGCCCGCTGGCTCCCCCCGAGCACGCACCGGCCCCACGGGGCGAGGCGAGCGGCAACTCCCCCGGCCGGGCAGGCGACGGTCAGCACTGGCCCGTGGCCGAGGGGGCCTCGCTTCGTGCCACTGTCAAACGCGACCCTGGGGGGCCGGTTCCGCATGCTAAAAAGGTCTTTGAATGCTCAAAGGATGCTGTACGATACTTACATCTTTGAAAATACGAAGAAAAGTTTCAAATTCTTTTTTTAAAACAAAATTAGCCATGACAACTACTTAGAGTGGTAATAATGCTATTGCATAGAGGCTGAGAAGTAACTTTAGGTTTTGTAATTCCTTCTCCAAACTTTTAAAAGAAAAACCACCTCCGTGTATGTGAAATGCTCTGTGGTGAATCTACTGTTGTGCTTACTGCAGAAATTTCCCTCTTCCTTCCTTGCTCTGTTCTATTTAACTCCACTTCAACTTGAAATGCAAAAGAATATCCAGAACACAATATATTAGGTCTATTAGGTCTTCCAATTCACAGCATCGCACCAGTCAATTAGCAGTAGCAGTTGTTATGGGGAAGCAGCTTTCCTCTGAAAGATGGCAAGAGTAACTCTTCCTGAGGGTAGAGAGTCCCTCTCTTATTTATGCTAATAGTCATGCTTCAATTGCTCCACGCCTCTCCCAGAATGACTCAGATAAATTAAACTGGCAAACAGACATATACTCTTCCACCACAAAGCTAGAAACTTGAAAAGATGTTTAGCCTCCTGAGAGCCTGGAGGAAAATGCAGCCGTTAAATTACAACTGTCAGAAAGGGCATGTAAGATAAATCATGCTTGAGGTTGACATATGCATCCCCTGCAACTGCCTGACATACCCTAGATATTTCAAGCTTTCCCCCTTATATAGCTAATTTATAGAAAATACTAAATATAAAAGTGCATTCATTAGGCATTTTCCTCTAGGAAATAATTCTCACATAATTTTAAGCAAGAACATATTAAAGGAACATGTTTTAATTAAAGGATGGAATGACTCAGGGTTTCAGCAGTCCAATGTACAGGCTTTCATGTTTAGGTTATTGGTTAACCAACTGGGAGGGCTAGAGATGTGACATTCAACAAATTATTTGTCACAGGCTGTGTAAAATACATGGGCAATTTCAGTTCCACTCCAAGTATTTGGGTATTTGTATCACAAAAAGCATCATTAAAATTAGATGACCACACACATTTATAGCCAGCCCTCTTGACATCTCAGCAGAGAGGAAACTGAAATACAGCTTCATTCTTCTCAGGCAAATGAAGCCAGATCAGCTGGATTTGCGCTGAAGGCTGTCTAAAACCTCAGAGATGATAGGTTAACATGGCGCAGCTGCACAGGTTGTAGCCTGCTTACAAGGGCTGAAACACAATTCAGGTTGGTCCAGCCAACTCTGCCAAAAGTATGCTGGTAAGTGTTTAGTGAGGTGATTTACACCAGGGTTATACGCCATCCCCACCAACAGAACAAGAACTCTACTCTTAGTACCTCCCAACTGCCAGGTCCGGTGTTAAGGAAGCCTGTACTTCTATGAGAGACACTACAGAAATCCAGGGTATATACAGCTCCTCTGAGAACTTGACTCTGGAATTGCCTACAGTCAGAATAAGGAGAAAGGACAACATAATGTTACACATGCACCATTTCAGAAATAACCAGAATGCAGGCCTCAGTCAGTGCCAGTGGGAGGGCTGTGCACACCAAGATACCAAACTGATACGGAAGAGCCGCTTGACCTGGGTAAACTGGTTAAAAAAATGTTTCTGCAAGCATAAAGAAAAACACTTTTCTTCACAGGGATCCTGAATACGTACATGATACTTGAGTTTTCAGGATGAGCAGAAACTCATGTTTTAGGGTCTGACACTAAAAAAAAAAAAAAAATTGGCTGCCTGTGAATACCAAAGTTCCTGTGGAACTTCCTATCAGAACTTAGTATAGTGGGTATTTCAGAAACCTGGCTAGTCACAGGGCAATTTTCTTGTCAGAAAAGAAGCTGTGACCTGGGTCATTCCCAAAGCCTGTATACTAATAGATCGGTGGCCTCTGACAGCACTGCAAGACCTTACTGTCTTAGTGCTAGCACGGCCGGACAACTCAGGACTGCATCAGAGGAGTGTCTGGACGTTATCCATCTTGAAAAGATACACAAAATCCCTGTGTGACAGATTAGCAAAGAATTTTTCTCCAACACATTACTCTTCTCCACCTTCAAAAACTCTTTATCTATATAAGCAAAAAGTACTTTGATTCATCCTGACGCAACTCAGGCCACAACCCTCAGGCCATTCCTCCCTGATGTGCTAGGTCAAGGCAGGGGATCCTTGAAAGAGTACCAACAGAACAGGTTTGTTCACCAAGAAAATACCAAGAGTGGCCTGCAGAATCCCCCGAAGTTCTCAGGACTAGAAGAAATGTAAAAAAACAGTGTAAAAAGTCAGATTGAGATTTCTGCTGCAATCCAGAACAAATTTCCCATATTTTGAATAATTTTTCAAGATTTACATGCATTGTAGCATGTTCTTATATGTGCCTTTAAGCAACTAATGCTTTTCAAAATGTGTAAGGAAAAAACAAACTAATTTGTTGAAATGGGTTAAAATGACACCTTAAATGAAGTGCACGCAGGCAGAAGAAACTTGATTATAATATTGTGAGATAGCTCAACCCATACTGGGAGAATATGCCAGAAAGTTCCAAGAAAGCAAAGAAGATGCTGAAAGTAAGCACTTCTGTATCTGTAAGAAAGCAACGAAGAGCAAACTCAATGACTTTATTAATTTGTTAACATAACAGTAAATACAAGCCATTGATATTTTTTGTAACTGATTGATATTCATTAGGTACTCTCCGAGTACCCCAGAGAACAATTTAGATTTATTGTTCAGTTTAAAATTAATTACTGTTTCAGTTTCATCACTTTTGCAGTATAGAACACAATCTGGTTTTAAACTATCCTTTCCACAGTGGATAGGTTATATGAATTAATTTTTTGTTGATATTCATAGAGTTCAAAAACTCCGTATCTTCCTTCTCTCAGATTAAAATCAAGAACCTGGTTTAAAGAAAAAAAAAAAAAAAAAGGAGTGATGAGAACATTGCAAAGACTAAAGCACACATATTTGTTTAGTATTAGCATTCTGTAATTTAGGTGGTCTGTTTTTATTTTAAGTTATTGATATTGATAAATAATAATTACATGGCCTTTTTTGTTTTAAAAGGCTATTGTAAAAAGTTTGCTATATTAATTTTTCTGAGAATTTGTACTTTATTTTTAGATCAGTTTAGGCTGAACACAACATTAGGAAAAGCTTAAGTCTAAGTGGAAAGAATTGAAGCCGTTGAGAAAGTGACCTGCAATAGTTCTACTCGATATCATTGCACCCAAACCACTTTAATATATCTAATTGTGAGATATGTTTTTTTTTTTAATATGTATTAAAATATAGCAGTTTTACAATAATGAAACTGTATAATGCAGCATTAGAAAACTTTTTGAAGGTTAATTTTTTTCTTCCAGTGATACACATCAGTCACCTGAAATCCTGCTGTATGTTTTATTTTAGGGTAAACTAAAGACATCAATGGACACAACTGAACTTAACATACTATTCTGAAGAAACAGAAGTCTTAGATGGAAAATCCACGATCACTTGGCAGATTACAGATATTATTTATCTGTAACACTAGGGGAGGAAGCAGTAAAATAATGATTTCCTGAAAAATCAAACAAAACAAAACCACCTGTGGTAATTCTTCAGATTAATTGAAGGATCTTATATGTAGTTTATAGGGCATTCATGATAATTATGTAAAAAAAAAATAATCTCACAAACCATGTAATATAAAATAACTGGTTGTTGTTTCATTAATATATGCAGTCCATTAAATACATCTTTTTCAACATCAGGAAAGTGAATTTATACCACAGTATATGTATGACCTTGACAGCTATGCTTTGGATTAATCTTCCACCACCTTTATATACTGTACCTGAAGCATGTGATTTACTTTAAATTCATCTTGGCAACATTATACTTATGGATATTCAATGGGATGAATCCAGGTCACGCAGAACCATTAGGAAAGAATGAATTCATAGAAAAAAGAAAAACCAAACAGAACAAACCAACCCAACAATTTCTGTTCTCCTTGTTACCAGGAAACTGTGAAAGTAATTGTACACTCTTCCCCCCACACTCCAAATTTCACAGCCAAGTTCTGAAATTAGCACTAGTTCACTATACTGGAATTTTGAAGTCTCATCTAGAAAGTCTTGGAAATCTATTTTGCTGGAGAAAAAAAATAGGGCAATCATTAATAGGATGATGGCTCTGTGCAAAGTTGCTTAGAGAAGCACATCCCATAACGTTGTCCATGCCTGCAGTGGTTTACAGAATGATATGTGTTGTATCACTGGGAAGTAGTATCAACATCTTTGATTTAAATTAATTTCAGACATAGTGCCTTTTTTTTTTTTTTTTTTTAAATGGGTAGTGGCAAGTTTTGGAGGTAGTACTCATGCTTTGGTCCCCTGGAAGTCATTACTATTCTATAATGTCCTGGCAGTTGTAATTAGTCCTGTTGCAATGCTGCAGATGGATAAGCAGTCATTGATAAAGACAAATAGTAAGTCTGCATCATTTATATTGTAAATAACATAGGCTTACTACAAGGCAGTGCAAATACTTGACATTTTCTTTCAAAAGTACAGACATCTTAATGGAGGCCACAAAAAGTGCCAAAAGTTTAAGTAGAGAAGACAACTCCCACCACAGCAACACAAAAAATTGCCAGAAGATTGGCTTATCTGTTATTTTTACCTAATGCACCATAGTCAGAGATGAGTTTCAAAGCTTTAGAAGGGGTGTGGCAATGTGGAAAGAGCTAACTGCCTGGATTTAATTAGTGTTAGCTAGAGCTACTCCACATTTGTCCCCATTTTAAAAAACATGGGGTTAACAACACCTTTCTTGTCAGAACAGTTCAGCACTGCTATTTTTAAAAGAAAATCTGCTGGTGTTAACCTCAGTGCAAAAAGAAGGGTTAATATTACACAGTCTTCTGGGCTTAGTGTATTTGTAAGCGTACTAGTATTACAGTTTCTTTATTAGACATGCTAGTTAGAAAAAGAATGTCTTGCAAGTTATGTCAGGTACGGTAGAAACACTTTGGCAGCTTGATTAAAAAAAAATTCCTTAAGTATGTGCTTTACAAAGGCATTCCCATTATATTCCAATTAAATGTTCTTAGGTGCCTTCATCTCCAGTAACATACAATAAAAAATTCAGAAACAGGCAAGAAAAAGGAGGGAGCCACTCAAGAGTCAGGGAGGAAGCTACCTGGCTGCACAGAAAATGTCTTCACCCTTTCCACTGAGTTTCAGTTTATTTTTTTCCTTTCCTTATTAGTTTAAAGAGAGTTCCCTTCCCTTAGGAGTCACAGTGCTCCTGAAAAGGCAGCTGATTGCACTTGGGTAGATAACACTGATAAATTGTATCTTATTTTAAATAATTGTTTATCTCACCTAGAAAAGAGTGCCTCAATCAGTCACTACCATAAATGACCTACATAATATGGAATAAAAAGTGCCTTCAGTTTTCAGGTGTATTCCCTGTTCCTATTGGCAAGATGATGGGTTACACTGATAAAACGGATGCATTGTTCTGTATTAAGAATGGTCATTGTAGGAGGGTGAAAAAGTTTTCTCTCTAGAGAAATCTTGTCTTACATAAATATGGACAAGAGGAAGAATTTCAGTCCTGGAGAAGAATATGCATATAATTCCAAGAATTCACTTGAGGGATGAATTCTGAGTTTAAAAAGAAAAAGAAATAAAAATCTTAAAACATGAGCACCTCCAGGCTAACTGACCAAAGAAGAAATAAGAAAATGGAGTTAAACTTCCTGATATTTTATGTTCAGCACTTTTATATCCTTTTGGTCTTCTAGGTTCTGCTGCCGTTACAGAACATCACTCCTCACTACTACCCCTAAATCTCACTACTGTTCACTTTCCAATTTCTTATTAGTTGTCTTATTTCTTTATACTATGATCAAAGTTGTTGGTATTTTAGAAATGTTCATTTAGATGAGGTCATGTGGACTTATTTTTCAGCAGCCTTTGCTTAAAAAGAAAACTACCACACCTGTAATGTCAATTTAGTTGTAGAGAAGAGCATGAAATATGAATGCACTGAGTCCGTCTTTCCCTCTGCAACCTGATCAAAGAGGATTCGCTCAATGCTTCTGAATTAACTAACACAGTATAAAACTTGTAAATCCCATATTCAAAGGAAGAGGCTCCAGTGATATAACCCAAGCACGCAGGAGATAACAGGGCTCCAAGATTCTTGGGGCAACTACAGCTTCTAGCAGAAAACAGTGGCTACTACTAGTGCCACAATGTGCAAAACTGCCCACCACACCTGGGAGAAAGGTAGCATGAGCCAGCTGAGTCCTGGCACTTACAAAGCTCCTATTGCCTCAAATTGCACTTGACTTTGTACATTGTTAAAATGAAACTCTTCTGTAGTTCCAAAGCTACTACCTGGTAGCAAAGGAACTGCTAGGATAGATTAAAAAAAAAAAAAAAAACCAAAACCCAACCCAAACCCAAACAAACAAACAAAAAAACCATCAAAAACCAAAACCAACCAAAAACCCAGAAAAAAGTCCTGAATCAACAATAATTAAGTCTGACGCTAGTTAGGAAAGTATCAGATTAAAACTGTAAATTGCTACAACTGCTCCTTAGGAATGTTTTTTTTAGTAATACTACTTCTATCTGATTATTCCTTACATTATTCATTGTACTGCTTAGGTCCCATGATCTAGATCAGAGAAAATGGTGGCTTGACTTCCTAGCAAAAGGAGATGCAGACACAAAAACCATTGTAAAAATCTCCTTGACATAGGGAACAATTAAATATATCAATTAATTAGGAAGCCATTTTCACTGTAGCCTAAAGTCATCTATGTGGGGGATTAACAAGAAAATCTGGTTTAGTTCTGTTTAGCTCAGAACAGGGAGGTAATAAGTCAGAAGTAAATGCAGAAAAAACAGAGCTGCTCTGACCAACGTGGTACTTCTAGCCATGTAGCTAGTCCTAACTGATACTGTTCTGGTAATACTGAAGCTAGAATTTGCTAGCATACATAAAGATTTGGTTCACTTTGTATGCATCATTTTTGTTGGAAACAGTATGCTGATGTTGTGTCTGCTTCTTTAGAGAGAACTAGAGGTAAACCTCCAACTTCTCTTTTGTAGTTTCTAAAAGTTTTCACTGCCAAAAAGCCACACCGAGTGAATACTAGGCATGTGATTCACTTCTAGTCCTCATTTTATCAATTCAGATAGACTGTAAAGCAAGAAGTCCCTCTACAGCACAATAAGGATTTTTTCATATTGGTAAGGTATTGTTCTATAAAGTGACTTTTCAAAAGGAGGATTAGCTGATGACCACTGGTAGAAAGGTTTATTTCTGGGCAATCTTTCCAATTTTCATTTAGCCATTGCCATCATTTTCTGCAAAAGCTTTTAAAAAAGCCTAAAAATTACCTTAATTTTATAAACAAGCCTTATTTTTTGGAATTATTGAACCTCTCATCACAACAGTTAAGCCAGGTACATAGCTGTTGTTAGACACCTAAAGTGGCACTCCCAGATACTGAAGGACCCCAAACTGCAGGCTACACTTTAAACTCTAGAAAGTAACCTTGCTGTGGAAATTGTGTAACTTTCTTGGAACCAGACATTGTACAGGTACTAGTGAGAACAGCATTTCATAAAATATCTTGTATTTTAAAATAATAAATAATACATCAATGATTCCAGAGGCAAATCTAGACAAATTTTTGCAGAAATGTTTACCAGGAAAAAAAAGCCAATTATTCTGAGGAGCTGTTATCAAAAAGGTAAGCTTGTATTTTTGTCAAGCTGCACAGAAGCTCTACTCTGAGGACAAACAATGCAGGCTACAATATATGATTGCTGTAAGTCGCTTCTTGATAAAAAACTAAGGAGCTTTGTTTCATGAAATGACTAAAGCAGAACAGCACTGGGAAAACTGCCTCAGGAAGTGCACACACAATATAAATCATAGTCAGATTTTCCATACCTTTCTAGACACAGGAACTCCTAAAATATCAAACCAATGAGACTAGAAGTTGAATACTCAGCCGATAAAGGACTCTGCAGACATATTTCTCAAAGGAGATCTGTAAACTACGTGTATCTATATCTAGCTATCTCTCTATATAAATACATATTTTATAAGAAAATGTGAAGAACAGTGTAGTCTCTTAAGGAGATTTCCAGGAAAAATCCAAAATGACAGCTAAACTAATTCTCACTGAAACCTACACAAAACTCAGCAGATTTTCCAGTAAGAGAAAAAAGATCAGTAATAACAAAGATGACTCTCTGGCTCTTAGAGCTTGCTGCTCAACTCTTAGCTATGCAGATAGTTTAACTATGTGGACTTCTCTGGAAGGATTTCTACTTTGTTATACCTACAGGTTAGTAAATAATATGCATAGAAGTCTCTGGGTCAATGCCATTATTATGCAAAAATATGCATAAAACTTTTTTTTGGTGATGCTCAGATATTGCTTATTGCAATCAGGTAAGATTTTGATGGAGATTTGCAATATACTATATGGTATAAATACTGTAATAATAATGGTATTAACATACTTTTTTCAACCAGCTCTTTCTTCTTCATACATTGTATCCCTCTAACAAAGTACTTGAAAAAATCTTTCATACTTAACACCTGTGTTGTACATTAGTAGGTAGTATTTTTTCTTACATTTTTAAAGAAGGGATATCTCCTCATGCTCTTTGATTAAATTGCCTGATGCAGGGTCAATGGCATAAAGAGGAGGCTTTGGATGGGCTTCAATGAACTATAGATCAGGATTTGAGACAGTAATGTAAGATCTCTGTACCGCAGTGCTATCTTCAAAAATATCTTTTGTCTGTTATCAATGTTAAGGTTTTCAAATCAGTTAACATTAGTCCTACAGTAATATTCCTGTTGTAACCTTCCCTGAATTTAAATTACATGGTGTGACTCACAGATCAGTGACAAAGGAAAAAGCTCAAACCTTCATTCACACAATAAGGCTTGGGTCCCAGGAAACATGTCTCCCATCATGCATTCCATTCAGAATTTCAACATCATCTTCTGCTATTGTAAAATCAAACACCTATGGGAATGCATATATAGTTAACGTCATGAACATAGAATCAGAAATGTTTCTGTTATTTAAACTGACCAAGATTCATTTAAGTGTGAGGTAGAATTTTTCTATATTTTTCCTTCTGGAAATTCTTTTTATATTTTGTCATAGACATCACATTAAGCTGACAGGCTCCACTGGGTCCTTTGATCCTTTTGTGACTCATTTTTATTTGTAGACTCTGTTAAGATGGTTTTGTAGTGCTCTGGCCTCAGGCAAGGATCCAAGACAATGGTGATATCAAAGTTGTTTTTGACAGCACTCTATATGGTCACTGCCAGAGGTAGATGAATACCCTGACTTCAATCCCTCTGAAAACCCAAGCTCAGTATTTCACTTATATCCCAACGTTCTATTTCAATTGTTAGGTTTTTTCCTCAGAACATTAGTCAAAGAGAATTATTAGAACATATCAGGACATTCACAAAGCTAGCAAACCAAAGGCTATATCTATCTTTTCTATGTGTATTTAGACAAAACACTCATGGATCAGCTAATACAGAAACAGATACAGTGCTACAGTGCCTTAAGGACTAACTCAAACTTGAAAGCAGCCACGTCTTCATGCACAGGTGCTTACAGCCACCGACTTCTCCTGTGGTGAGACCTGCAACATGAATGACTGTGTCAGTGTTTTCTTAGCAGGTGTCTTACTCAGACATTATCACTTCAGAACTGAAGTTGCTTTAAAGTTGGTCTGTTGTCTTAGTCAGAGGTCCTCCATGCTCAATAAAAAGATCCTGTGGAGCCTGAACTGCTGCCAAATGAGCTCCTCCCATCCTGTATTATCCAGCAATCACTGCCTGCTGGAATGACCCTTGTAATGAAACCCCAGTGCTCAAGCTTTTTACACCTAAACCAGGGACCAGTCACAGAACTAGAAATACTGCATATTATATTATATTTGTTATATACTACATTACATTACAATACAATACTCTACTATATTACATTACATTATATTCTGAGGGCTTAATGAGGTCCATGCTTTTACCAACTTGGCCTGAGTCTCTACCACCTCTAGTCAACATGCCTGCACAGGGGAAACGAAAAAGAAAGGAGATGGGATAAACAACATTAGATAACTGTGCCAGTTCTCCCCTCCTCTCCATCCTAAGTGTTTTAAGTCTTGCTGCAATGCATTCCCTCAGCTGTGCAAAATGAATTGGTAGGGTCACAGAGTAAACTCTGTAAAAAAACAGAATTAATCTGCATTTAAAATATCATTGGGAAAAATAAAATAAAAAGAGTAAGGAAGGATTTTAAAGCTCATTTTGTTCTCTGATCTGGTTCACAATGCAGTACCACAAACAGCTGTGCTTGTACCACAGAAGACTGTGCATGTCAGAACAAATAGTCAAGGCAGGAGCTATATAAACAGGCATAGCCACCAGAAGAAATCCTCATTACCTGTATGTTGATTTACACCTACACACACACGCGGTGATTTAACTAGCAGACAGAAGTTTCCTATCTTATTTCAAAGTTCCCTCCTGATTTGCCAAACAGTTCATACCCCCACAGTATTTTTGGAAGTAATAAGGTTGTTGTGGTTTCCCCTCCCCCCAAAGAAAGCACACTTTCAGATTAGAGAAATTGAGAGAAAAATGAAGTAATTAATTCAAAACATTTGCTATGAAAAGGGAATTTAAAAAGGGTGGTGGGAGTTGTGCTGCCATTCCCCACTTTTCATTGTTCATCCCGTTCATGCTGGGACATTCTCTGCAAGTCGAGCAGAAGAAGGAAGGTAGGGGAACAGTCAGCTCTGAGAGGACAGTGATTTCCTTAGAAGGTCTCTATCTGGGATATCTCAAAGAGTTTTACAGCTTTCATACAGTGTTATGCATAGCATACAAATAATTCCTTCCATTTGACCTATGTGCGTATCACAAAAAGAATGTAACCATAACCAAATTAGGGTGTTCTACAAACAGCTAAGGAATAAATAAAAATAATAATGAACTATGAAAGGTGTTTCTATTCGTACTTTTTTTCTTTAAACACACACAGAGTGATTACCTTTCCAGCTGATTTCTGACATTTGTAAATTATGGGGGTTTTACTATATTGTAGTGATTTTATCATACTATAATTTGCCAATTTTAACTGAGTTGCTCCAATATAAAGCTGCTATAGGAAAACGGGCAGGCAAACCAAAGTATTAAAACCAGTAATTTGGATGTTAGTCAGACTTGAGTGCATAACCAAATCTTACCTTGCAGTTTTCCTGTATCCTTTCTGCTTTTGTGGACTTTGGAATAGTGACAATCCCATTCTGAAAAAGATAATGCTTCTCTTCATTAAAATGTATGTTGTTTAAAAGAAAATGATCTCTCTTCAAAACATTTCAAGACACTCCTCATGTCTTCTGAGTCTTTAATTTCATTTTTCAGAGGACACTGACATTTCTATATGCTATTTTTAATTGCAGTTATATACACTGTATTAAATTCCAACACAGATTATGTGGTTTATGTCAACTTAAAACACTATTTCACTGCTTAGTACTTCATGTTGAGTGATAGAAATGGAATGATGCCCCATACTGCTTGTAACGTTTAGTTTGAAAACATCTCTTTTATTGGTGGTTCTTTTTATTCTCTACAATCAAATTATTTACATATTTAAAATACTACCATGCTTTGTGTACTACACTCCAAATTTCCAGTACAGCACAGTTAGTTCATGTGATACCAACATACTGAAGCCAAAATACTTTCTGTATAAATTCTGGTTTGATGCACTAAACCCAAGCTATTTGCATTTTTTTCCTGAGAGAGGAGACACATTTTTATTACCACCTTCCATTACCTGTATACTCCAGCGTATGCAAATCTGTGCTGGAGTTCTGCCGTATTTCTTTGCCAGCTGAATGACACTAGGATGAGTGAGTGCTTCACCTTTGGCTAAAGGAGAGTAGCCTTCAAAAACAATATCTCTGCTCCTACAATAATCGACCAGCTCCTGAGGTCTTTGGAAAGGGTGGTATTCAACCTTAGATAAATACAAACAAACTTTTAGCAAAAACCTTTTAAGTAATTTTAGTAGAAAACATAATTGATAAATAAAAATATTTTTTATATTGCTTTAAAAATACAACATGAGTGAAATCACTGCTTCTGGGAGATAGGTGTAAGTTGTCAGTTTTAGAAGACGTGTGAAGGATATTAATCCACAAGCATTTTGCCAATAATTGGCACTATAGTTTACTACCTATTTTATGTTTCCACCAGAAGTAAGGTGCATGGAGAAGTTGTCTGCCCTACCTGCAGTTGGATTTGCACTCTTGTTCTGCTCTGTGTTTGAGAAATATATGCAAATGCATAGTGGAAGTCAGCATCAGGTCATTTTTATTGGAGATTTAAGGCTACCTTATTTTCCCCAAATCTACTTCCTTTCCTGTTTCTTTACTAATGATCTTTGAGTTGCATAGGCAAGGGGAGGGGGTTGGGCAGGGACTGTGTTTGCAAGAAACCGACCAGAAAAATCTGCTTAGGATGAGGGCTTGACCTCGAAAGGACAGCCTGTTGGCATGGAATGTACATGGAAAATCTTGTATTCTGTGTGTGGTGTCACCAACAGCTTATGCAGGGAAGCAATCACGCTGTGGAATGAAGTGTGAAGGAGATCCTTTGTAGGAAGGAAGATCACAAATTGCCAAGAATCAGTTAAAAGAGGAAAAGTAACAAGCTACAAAGACACAGTTGTTGGAAGCAAAAGGAAACAGAAGTTATTGGAAAGTAAGGATCTCAGAAGAGCCACATATTCTGGCATGTAGCAAAAACAAAAAGACAACCTTTGTAACATTCCTTAATATGTTAAGTATTTCACAGTTAATATATTGTAAGAAGCATACCCTCCTCTGCATTCAGATGACAATGGGTAGGGTTTTCTTTTATAAAATACATAATCATGTAATGTATTTTTGTGACTGGCCGTCATCATTGTTCCAGTGATCTAAAACTCTTGCGCATTTTAAAGAAAAATACTCTTCTGAACAATTACCTCAACACATGGAATCTGGAAAGTTTCTTCTGCCACAAAGAGGACAAATGAACATTTCCTGTTTCTCATCTTTAGTACATGTTGTCTTTTCAGACAACAATAGTCGGGAACAATAGGCTGGCAGTCATTCAATATGCACTAAGAAAAAACTGTGCCCCTCGAAGGCTGGGCTGAGTCAGCCTAAAGCTGCTATGATCTAAATTACTAGGTAGACTCGGGAACAAGGTTCAAGCAGCAGACATCCATGTCTTCAACCTTTGATGTTTCTTGACCTTTGAGTAGCCTTTGTATTTCATGTTTATATGTGTAAGACCAGTGTTTAGGTCATACAGTTATTCACTTGTTTGTACCTGAGCTGACTAGAAAATACTCAAATTGTTTTAACGCAAAACTATGAGGGGATAAAAGAAAAAGCAAGCAGGGTGTATTACACGAGTATTACAAAAGTAATAAGGAATTTTAGCAGGCTTTCTTTACAGTAAATGTAGTAACATAGCCTAGAAGAATATTAAACAATGATATATTTAAGATCAAATGCTGAAAGACCTCCAGTACCCCTATGGCATCAGGTGATTTACTCAGCATTTACTACTATGTAACTACTATATAACTGCAAGAAGAATTTACCTGCTGCTCTAATAACATTTCTAGGCAGCACAGTTCCAGGTTACACCAGAAGTATTTAAAGCAAGAACAGCATGCTGAGATGGCACCTATCTGCTTCACAAGCAGAAAACACAGCAACAATTACTTCCCACCTGGGAAGATTATACTTTGTGCCTTTCAATGCATCAAGAGACTCCCAAATTTTGTGAACTGAATGTTGGCACATGCAGTTGTGTGTTGGTAGCAGCACATATTTTTCTTATTACAATTCTGAATTTATTTTTCTTGTGAAAACTTTCTGGAGGGTTCTACCAGCTTCTGAATGCAAGGGACTAGCATCCTGAACTTGAAGAGGCATAGGGTAAGTGGCCAGCATGTGCTTCCCCTCAAAATAATAATTCCTACTTCCTGGCTTGCCCCACCCTTGCTATTTTAGTCATCAAACTTTTCTCAGGCAAGGACTGTCTGTCATATGGTGGTAGAGGAAGATCTTGATCTTTTCTGGCACTGCACCCCAAGTGATTTGTGTGTAAAGACTGGTGTTTAATAGAACGGTTTGCAGTTCACATTACAGAACTCTTCACAGCTGCTACCTGGTCAGCCACAGGGGAACTCAATTAAGTGCTGTTTTTTATGACAGTCATAGCACAACGGCAAAAAGTTGAGCCTAATAACAATCCTGACACATGGACCTAGAAAGTCGTACCTTGGATGATAGTATACAAAAGCCGTAATCTTTCCACCCTGCTGTGGGTTCTTTTCACCCGGTAAAGTTTCCCTGCATCCGGACTTCAGTAAGTTTCTCAATGGGAATGCACAGTCTTGCAATTATTTCTCTTTATAAAACTGAAATATAAGCCCAGAAATGTCTTCTCTATAGAGTAAAAGCTCAGTTGAGTTTATGTACAAAGGGGTTGTTTCCTAATGCCTCAAAATACTAAAATACATTTCTACCTTGTACAAATTTACATAATAGTGTTCAATATATGAACATATTAACAATATTACTAAATCTCAGGCAGTAATTTGCACTTCTATAAAAGTAGAAAAAATATTGATGAGCATTCCTACATGAAATTCAGAGAGGATCAGTGTATATTTGGTTTCAGTGTATCACTTTATTAAACATATATGTTAATTAAATTATTATAAAATCTATTTTTTTTTGCCCCTAATGAGTGACAGGCATAGGAGCCTTGAAAGAGACTTCAAAGACTTTCTTGAGCATAAATCCAAACTTACTACTGCTAATTACTGTCAATTACAAACTCTGGAAAACAAGCCTGTAACTTCCAGGTTACAGGCTTCATTCTACATGATGCCAGAATAAAGTATTTATCATAATTTTACACAGTGTTTAACAGTGGATTGTAATTTTAAAAGTTGCTTGCTTACTACTAAATACCTTAACAATACTGTTCTTGAAAAGACAGGCCTTTCCTACTTCTTTAGAAGCCATGATGATATTTTTTTTCAGGAACCAAGAAGAGAGGTAGTACTTACAACTTGGGTTTGTAAAATAGAAGCATTGTTTACTACCCGGTTTCCAAAGACTATAAAAGTCTGAAAGAACCTCCTTTCTCCTACTGTCCTACTTCCTCCTCTTCACAAAAAAAAAAAACCCCAACTTTCAATTTTAACATCATAAGAACTGTTAGAACTGTAAGAACACCCTAAATTCTTCATGCAAATTTAACACAACTAAGAGGGAAGTGATTTTCTTTCACTTGTTTTTTAAATATTCAGACTTTGTATACAGTGATAGTTTGCAAATGTTTTGTATTTAGAAATAAGGTCATTGAAACAGTATGCTATTTGATGCATAAATATAGCAAACATATTTTGTATTATGACAGTGAAATAAGAATTCAGTACAGCACTTCAATTCCCAATTTAAATTTAGGAATTCATTAGTTGTTTGATAATGCTTAAGTAATCTCACCATCGGACTCAGAAACTCTCCAACACTAACCAAGAAACAGAAGAAATACTCTTTTGAGGATAACCTCAACTATGCTTTATAAGATTCCTGTAGCTCTAAAAAGTGTAAATTAATGCTATAACAAAACTGTTCAAAGTGGATCAGTTTGCAGTGGCATGGGTATTTCAGTCTTGTTTTTTTTTTGTTTTTAATTTGGAAAAGTGCTGTGTATCACAATAAAGAAGCGACTATCCAAATAAAGCAGGGGCACCCTCCCACCCTCCGGTATCACTACCGTATCAACTTTTTGTCTCCTTTCAGCCACACAAAAAGAGATGCCATCAAACAGGATCAAGAAACAACTTTTCTCCACTAACATTACTGACACAGTAAGACTGGTAACGTTTCAAAATGTTACCAAAAAACAAAAACAAAAAAAAGAAAGAGAAAATTTCAATACAAATCCAAGATTAATTTTTTTTCCCTTGAAGTGATTTAGTAGGACACTGAAAGGCTATTCTCATTTAACAGACAGTAAGAACTTATGCCAAACTCTAGTACGACTCTAAAGATGTGTATTCCTTGTTCAATTTCACAAATGAACCTTGGCAAATTCACTGATTCTTAAACAGTCATGAACCTGCCCATCTTAAGAAATATTTCAATGGCTTAGTTTGACTAATTAAATTGAAACATTTTATATGGTTTTACATTAATTTAACATTACTCATAATTGCCTTTTAGTAACCTTTAGTCTAGTAGACAGCAAAAATCAGAGATGCTAGGTTCTAACAGTCATATTCTGAGTAACCTTTTAATGGCTGTTCATGACATTAAACCACAAACAGCTGCCAGAAATCCTCAACACCTGTAAAAAGGGGAAAAGCATGTGCCTGCACTTCATCCATTCCAGTTCTCAGGTCTATGTTAGCATAAGCACACTTTCACTGGCAGGAGGTGGTAGGAATGGGAGCATGAACTTCCAGCACAGCTGTGGGCAGAAAAATGTAAGAAGGAAATAGTTGTCAGTGTCCTGGAAGTCTGCTGGTATGTAGGTGGCCATTTTTTATCTGCCTAGGACAGCAAAAAAAATTTGCCAGGGCTCTTGCAGCACCTTCCTAAATAAGAAGTTCACTGAATTTAATGTGATCTCGAAATACAAATATTAAATAAGGGCGGGAGCGAGGGAAACAGCACCTTTGCATGGATATGTAATCACTTGAGACTTTTGGTGTTGCTTAGAAGAATTATATGTAGTATTTCAGCACAGGCTTTCTAAAACCTTGTTCACTCTGAAGATGCTAAAATTCAAGCATCCTTGAATTTTATTTCTAAACTGCTTTATAATCAAAAACTGTCACATGAACCATTTGTTTGTGCCTTAAAACCAGCCACAAACAAGCAGCCTGGGAGAAACTGGGAAAAAGAAATGAGGATGGACTTCCCCACCAGCACCACCACCCCTACTTCAGGTCATCTTCCTGAATGGTTTTCAATACGTATATAGAAGTGAAAGAGAAGAAACTGTATAACTAAGGCTGGTTTAGGTGTAGTCTTTCAGGCATAAGGGCTGGGAGGAGATTATTAACCAAAAAGAACAAAGCAAAAACCCAAACCCAGATACTTTAAATATATTTATCCACTCACCTGATTAACATGTGGAGTAATCACACAGTCTTCCTTTAGTTGCTCAAGATGACTGATAAGAAAGTTGCTTACACCAATTGATCTACACAAACCTAATGAGAAACAGAACAAGAAAAAGTTTTGGGGTAATCCTAACTGCTTGGGAGGATGATTTGAAAAATACCACTTTCAAGTGACAAAATGATTGTACGCATCATATCTGTATAGCAAAATACTTCAAAGAAACACAGAAAACCAACACTGAAATCTAGTTTGACAGTATTATCTGGAAGCATCGTTCGTCACAGTCACACTAGGAAATCATTTTGTAACCTAAACACACTGGAAACTCCCCAGTGTATAAAAACTCCAGGCTAAATTCTGGGAAAGGCTAATGTAGTATAAGCAAAGAACAATTGGACTCCACCAGAATGAAAAGGAGGAAATGGTGTTCTGAGTAGCTTGCCAAAACTAAAGAGAAGTGGAACATTTGCTGAAGACTAATAAGGTGTGAGCAATACAACACAAGGACATGCAGTCCAAATGAACTATGTAGCACTGCTTGTATTTCTATTAGATCATTACAAGATGTTACGTAAAACTCAGTATAAAAACTTCAGTTAAGTGAGCAATGCCTAACTAGAACCATGAAGCTTAAAAATGTAGCTAGATTTCTCAGCTCCTGCTGACATGCAAATACAAGTTAAATGGCACATAGGTGATATGAAGGTTGTTTTTTTAAGTAAGCCTTAAGCATGCATGCACGTGTATAAATTAAGTGCTGACAGTCCTGAAATCAGATGTCTTCCTTCAAACCACAGATACAATAAAGCACAACTGATATTGGTCTGCCACCACACCTCAACCCTGGCTCATCTTTGATAGTTTGGTCCTTATTCTGCACTAAACACAGTTAATAGCAAAAGCAAATGTGGTCAGGCTAGTAGGGGTCTCCCTTGGCTGTGGATTCTGTGGACTATGAATCAGACACTTCTTCAGTGTGTGAACTTTGTCTTGATTGACTTGATCTGCATTTCAATCTGTAACTCTGCAGGTGAAAAGTCTGTCTCAAGGTGAACACAGAAGTCCAAGTAGTGCTGTTAATCCAGCATTTGTGCTGGCCTATTCCATATAATGTATATGCATGGTCGTATCTATATACATGCATACAGGTATCTATAGCAAAAAAGAAAGGAAATAAGCAAAAAGTTATACTGTTATTTTTTTTGGAAAAAAACTCCATGTCATTGGGCAATTTCAGCCATGATGTAAAAGGAATGATATCTGGACTGAAATTGTCCTCATTTCACAGTTAGAATCACCACTGTCTTGAGTTCAGCAGGGAACTATGTGGACCTGCCTTGATTTGAAGCTGGAATACAGACAAAGAAAAAATAATTATTAATGCAACTGAGAGACGTGAATACATTAAAGGGAAGAACTTCACTTGTAACAAAAGCTAACGAAAATGTTGGAGAAAAATGTACTCTCCAAGTACTTACGTTGCATATATTTTATGTACAAAAAAAATAACTCACAAGTAGACTATAAGTTGGCATATAAAAAAATGAGCTATAAGGTTACAAAGTATCTTGAATTTGCAGATTAGATTTACCTGGACAAAACAAAGAAATTAAATTTTTCTAGTCTTTTATGAAATTCTGTAAGTGAAATTACAGTTAATTTTAATTATTATAAACAGATTGTTAAAGCCCTGAAAAAAAAAAAAAATCAGTTTTGCATTAGAAAAGCCACTATCCATATAAATACAGGCAATTTGACTACTATGCTGCTTTTACATGTTTTAGCAGCACACACAGATAAAATGCACAGCAGCAAAACCTGCACACATACTATCACTTTTTAATGTGGTTTCTTTTGTAGAATACAAAAAGGAGAAAAAAATACATTAGCAACTAAAATGCTACACAGGTTTCCCTTACAGAAATTATCATTGTTGAAGATGTATAATATAATTAGGTTATAACCTGCACTATAGCGATTTGCATAATTTGTATGTAATCTGCCAGAAGAAGCAAAACCTGAGCTTTTGACTTCTACTGATAAACAACAGTGGAGTGTCAACACTAATAAATCATTATGCCAAAGTCATCAGAAAAACACCTGCAGTTTTAACACAATGGGGAACCAAAATATTATACTCTATTGTTGAAAGTTAAGGAGTTACAAAAAACATGCTGTTATTGCCCTTGAAGAATAAAGCTCTTATTTCAGGCTGAAATAAAATAAAACTCAATTACAGACATGAAAGATGAAAGGGCTTATTAAATTTGCCCACTTCCACAGAAGGCTTCCATTTTTTTCCCCTTACAGTACACTCTTAAAAGGTTTTGCTTCTAGCACACTTCTCATAGGAGACTTTGAAATCTGTTCCATAGTCCCATTGCATTCATTGCTAAGTTTTTTGTTAGATTTCCCATCAAGAAATTTCAGGTCAGTTATGTTTTGTCTTAAAAGTCATTTGAGTTGCTCCTACTAAAATCAGTATTATGATATTCCTGTGTTTGGAGTTACGTCACACAGAGAAAGCTAAATTCAAAATTGTCAAGAAAGTAAATGTTTTCCCAGACAGAGAAACAATAACTAGAGTTACAATGTTTTTGTGGAACCAGCATTTTTTTTTTTAAGGGAATACAATTAAAACATTTCATTTTCATTAAACCCACATATTTAGTTTTGGTAAAGTTAGAACCCTTGGTTTAAACTTCATTGCTTTGTTTTTCGTTACAGTTTAATAAAGTGTTTTGACTTTTGTATTAAAAATACAGTAAATATGAAAACAATTGCACAGCCTGACTGTATCAAAAATCTTATTTCCATGCATGGTGGAAACATGAATTCAAAACACTGGAATTTCCTGAATAATAGAGAGTCTAAATTTCAACGAACAATCAGTGGATTCTACTCTAGATCATTGCTTACATCTGCTTGATTGAAGATTAATACAGTTCCTCTGCATTGTCCAAATCTGGGAAAAACTGCCTTAAAGCAGGAGATTATACAGAATTATTTCCACATTTACATCTGATGGACTATTTCTTAAGAATAAAGGAATAGAAGATGATGGACAAGAAAATGAAGGTCTGGTTAGCTCCTAAGCCTTATCTGACAGACCAACACTTGTGACTATGTATATCAAACAAGATCCATGAAATGATCACATCAGCAGTAGAAATGAAAAAATTACATATTGAGAAACTTGTGTAAAATGATCCTCACTCATTGCCTTGAAAAACGGGTCAGGGGGCATATTTCCTTATATTTCCCCTCTCACAGAGCTCTGACAGAGGTAGGTTTCCTGGAGTTTGTGCCATTGGTCTCAAAACCACCAGCATGCTCTTGAAAAAAAGGGGGAGGGGGGAACCCATTTATTTTCAATTTAATACCTGTTTCGTGTGCTTAAAAAGCCCATTTCAGACAATCCAGGAATCCAGGCATAATTCATGTCTTGGCTGTTGTAACAGCTGGCAGGTTTAAAGTCTATACTTCTTTTTAACTTAACCAGTTTAACTAGTCCTGAAGTTCAGGTCTTCTGAGATAAAAGTTTGCAATGTGCTAGCTGCAATCCCTCTAGAAAGTACACTTTTAAAATACATATTTATACTGCCTTATTTACAAAGCCACATAGCTTTGACTCAGGGAAAAAAAGCACCCTCCTTATCTGCTTGAGGAAATGAGTGGTTTGGCCCCTATGAAGCAGATTGAGAAAGTGCCAGGTGCAATAAACAAAGAGTTAGCAATTCCCCATTAGCTCCCAAAGCTTACTGAGGCTTTGTTCTACTCCTTGCGACTCTGACTTCACAGGCTTGAAGGAAAACTTGGCAATGATGCTTCTTCTATGCATGCTAAAAATTGACTGACCGCAATGGTGGAACAGAAAGTTTCATCCAGCTTTGAAACACTATCATGAAACACTGCAAGACACATTAAAAAAAAAAACCCATATTGGCAAAATAATAGTTGATTATAATGAAAAAAAAAAAATAGTATCTTTTCTATTCTACACAAAACAATCTTGGCCTCCACCACATCAGTAATTTCACCACACTGTATTACTCCCAGCTGCTGTGAGGCAATACATCATGCTAATGGACTGGTTTGCAAAGTAGTTGCGTATCAAGCTTAAAGTACTTTTTTTTTTTGGCAACATAGAGAATAATTGGGGTTTTTTTCCTTTACTTAGTATAATATCAAATTATACAAAGTTTGAGGGGCACTGTTAGTCTTGCAACAAAAAAGCATAAATACACTGTCTTGGCACCACGACATTGTTTTAGTACAATAGTAAGCCTTATCTTTCCCTAGCACTACTATGGACTTTTATCAAACTTCCAAATACCGTCTGGAATATTAAATGTACAAAGTTCAGCTCAAAAAAGGTTTTGAAATGACAAAACTGGATACTGGGTTTGTGGAGCCCATTTTCCTCCCCCTCCCTGCTGCTCTACATGAGTCAGAGCAAGGGAGAATTCCCACGTCCAGTGAACAGTGCCCATTCTGTTATATCTTCTATTCAGGCCACAGAATAAAAACACCAATGGATCCACTTTTCACAAGAGGTCAACTGCAGTAACTGTATCTTTATTAAAGGAGGTTACACAGGTTATAAAGGTCCAGATTCTCTCTAATACGCACGCTAAGAACTTATCTGTGGCTAAATGGTGTTACAGAAACCACACAAGATTTATTTCAGCACAGCTTGCTAAATCAAAGCTGTAGGGCTGAGTGTGCCCCACATACAGACTTCAAGCCAAAGCCTTGATAAATAAAGCAGATGACTCTTAGGCAGAACCAATAAGGAATTAAGGTCTAAATCTATGAAATAACACTTGTTTCCATTTCACAGACTAAAACACATAGATACCAAAAGGCTAAGTGTCCTAAGACACACAGAAAGACTGGCAAAATTGAAAACACTAAAATCATGCTTCCTCTCCCAAAGGATTTCTTTTTATCCTATTCATTATCACAATATAGGTGCTTATCTGCCTAAAAATTACTTTCCTGCTACTACAATTCCATGATCATTACTCCTGCTACAGATCACCTTTGAACCATGATAAATTGTGGGGATAACAGGACAGGAGACATA